AGATGTGTATAAGAGACACATTCAAAGGTGCAAGGTTGCAAAGACTAGATGATACTCTAGCTCAATTTCTGTCAAGGATGGTGTGAACGACGGCACAAGAACCATCCCATACAACTGCAGGCGGATAACTGAAGCACAGCGTGTTCAGACTAGCTATTTAAGTGTGTTACCGGTATTTTCGGCCTATCCCAATGGTAAAGAACTCCCGCGCCTAACCCTTTTGCGATCTGTCGTGAATGCATAAATCAACGTACAGAGATGGTTTTGGTACCATTAGATACGTCAGAATGTAAGCTTTAAGATAAGATGCGTACAAAAACCGAAAATCAAAATTTTTGATTTTGGGGCAGATGCTCCCCTTAAAAAGCAGACAAGTTAGAATGGTTATTTTGAGCAAAAGATGTATGTTCCATTTGACCAAAATACTCCAATACAAATGCACCATAATATATTCATTTAAAGATATTTTTGACAAACCATGGGGTAAGATAGGACCATTTGTGGGGTAAGATAGGACCATTTGTGGGGTAAGATAGGACCACTTGTGGGGTGAAGCAGGATCATTTAGTGGTCCTGTCTTACCCCATGTCCGGTCCTTTTTTACCCCATTTTGGAATACATGTCAGGCAGTGATGGTAGCAGGTGGGAATGCCAAGTATGTCTCAAAAGTCGCTTATTACTTGAGGTTACATGCCTACATCCACAAACTTGGCCAAAAAAATTTTTGTCATTAGACAGAGCTTATTTCCCAAACAGGGTTAACTATTTTGTGACCCTTCTTTACATAAGTTTTCTCTAAAAATTAGCCAGAAATTCATTATTTGCAGAAGAGGGTTGAAACAAGCACTGAAATGACATGCAGTGATTGCTCTAACATATTCTTCTATCAAATTAAATTCAGTGCAATTAGAATGCATGCCATGGGCTGGTCCTTTCTTACCCCATGAAGGCTGCGATCCTGTCTTACCCCATTTGACTAGACAAGATTTTCCCTAGTGCAGCTGCACCTTTTAGGTGTCATTTGTTATTCCAACTGTTACATCACCTTGGCTCTTCTGACATCAAACTGATTTGTAACACCAGTTTTCCGTAAAATATGACTAGTTGCATGCAATACCATCAAACAGGGTAATAAGGAATGGTTTTTAGCGTTTTTGTTAATAACTTCTTACCATGAAACATTTTGTAAACACGTTTAGGCTCATTTTATAGCTCTTTGTGAGGGCTATCAAATGGCATCTTCAAAAAAATTCCATATGCTATTTGTGAGGTGCCAGATGCAAAATAAAACTATCCCAAATCAGGATTGATGATTTTTTTTTTAAATCAAAAATTGATAATTTTTATGATTTTTTTATTTGTTTGACTTTTTTCAGCTTTTTTGTCTTTTTGAAATGTTATTTTTTATGTTGCATTTAGCCTACAAACAATAACAGTATATGGATAAAAATGGATGGCTTAAAAGAGCACTTATTGCCTTCAATAATGGCCAAGGTGGTGTTTACCACTTTGGGACTTTTGGGTAAATGATTACTGATAAATCTATTCATTAGCTTTGTCTGGTCAAGGTCAATACAATCTCAACCTCTCAATATACAGGGTGGGGCAGAACCGATTGAGCAGTTTTGAGGCAAAATAAAGAATAATGGAGGTACATAAAGAAAAAAGTGTATTTTCTTTGAGGTTAGCATAACATACCATATAGAATACTTATGTTTTGAATGCAATATCTGGAAGATGGTGGCCGTTAGCTGCAACACACTGTTGGAGTCATTCTCAGAGGAGGGAGTAACTAAGACAGTAAAGTCCAAACACTATGCTGCAATGTTGCAAAATTTCTTGCAGCCCAGGATGGAAAACATTGAAAATGAAGCATTGGGAGACATGTGGTTCCAGCAGGATGGGGCTACAGCTCACACAACCCAAATGTCACACAATGTTTTGAAATGCATGTTTCCCGGACGTCTGGTGTCTCTGAGGGGTGATTTACAGTGCCTGCGACTGCAAGGTCACCTGATTTGAGCATTTGTAATTTCTCTCCTTGGGGGACATCTAAAAGAGAGGGTGTTCAGAAGTTGCCCTTACACCCTACCACAGCTAAGGGAATGGATTCTTGCAGCAGAGGTTATGGCCATACCTTGCTGGCTTGCCATATGTGTGAACGTGCTGTAGGAAACTTCCGCGAATGACTCCAACAGAGGGATGCAGCTAATAGACACCATCTTCCTGATATTGTTTTCAAAACATAAGTATTTTATGTTATGATAACCTTGAGGAAAATAAACTTTCTTCTTTATGTACCTCCATTACTCTTTTGTTTTGCCTCAAAACTGTTCCATCAGTTCTGCCCCACCATGTATAAGCTAGCTACACATTTAAATGTATATTTTGATTAATATAAACACATAGTCAAATAGTTAGTTAAAGACTACTTATAGCATTATAAGAATTAGCTAAGCTGCTAGCTATGTACAATGTATTGCAACACTTGATGCCTGAGCCTCTGCACCAAAAACATACAATTCATTGGAACCTAATACACACTAAAGGCAACATGTTTATTTTTCAATTTTTCATAGTACATTTATACTAAACCATGAATAACAATACCTCAAAATAAATTAAAGACTGCCACTAACACTCAATATATTTAAATATATAAAAAATAAAAAATGTAAAAAATAAAAAAATCATGATTTTTTCTAGAAAAAATCAAATGATTTATTCAGTTTGATTTAATTAATGCCAACCCTGTCCTGAATTACCCCTGGGAACGGGGTAATCCGGGACACTTGAAATAAAACTCAATTTCAAAATGTTTGAAGCATGCAGTGTACTCATCCATTACTAACGGTATTCTGAAGTCCTCCTCTTTTATTGTAGATGAGGCAGCTAGATGTAGAATAAATGACATTTTCTGTGTTTTTTAATTGTTTATCCTTTATTGATATGATATCACTATATTCATTCATTACCATATTATTTATGTGATATTACTGCATCCATAAACATGCCATTGAGCATTTACAATCACCTTGTCCACTGCAAGCTTCATATCAGCAGCCATATAGCATTTCTTCTGTATCTGTAAGCTTGCAGGATGAGGACGGCTTGTAATTTCACATCATT